TAGAGAGGAGGACGCTGTGCAGTGGAGAGTTCCACCATGAGCCGTGGCACAGGGTGACAGGAGCAGAGAGAGATACGGTGGACGGCTCTGCTGGCTTCCCATCTGCTGTTGATTGGAAGCCAGGAGATGGAGCGGAGGGGCAAGTGGGAGTCTAGCCGAGGGACGAGTGGGAGTGAGGGACGAGTGGGAGTCTAGTCGAGGGACGAGTGGGAGTGAGGGACGAGTGGGAGTGAGGGACGAGCGGGAGTGAGGGACGAGTGGGAGCCTAGCCGAGGGACGAGTGGGAGTGAGGGACGAGTGGGAGTGAGGGACGAGTGGGAGTCTAGCCGAGGGACGAGTGGGAGTGAGGGACGAGTGGGAGTCTAGCCGAGGGACGAGTGGTGACGTGGTGGTCCAGAGACAGTTCTACAACCATTGGAAGTCTCTTTGAGGTTACTTGATGACGATCCAAGCAAGTTAAGCTAATCTTCGGTGGAAATTTGTTGATATTCCAGTTTACAAACACAGCTGTCTCGACACGACGGGAATCCAATCCAAAAAGCTCCCACGTCACCAGCAACATCTCCGCCAGCAGGTGGCGGCAATGGCCCGTCGGTGAAACTCAAAACGGAACAACCCTTGGGGTGACCCAATTTTAACGCTCACCGTCAACGATGAGAAACTCGCGAACACAGAAAAGTGTTGAGCAGGCTGGAAGCACAGCAATGATACGCGCAGGGCAATAATGCCGTACACGCAAAATTGGTTCAACAGGTAAGCGGTAAAAAGTTGACAAAAAATGGTCAACAAAAATTATCTGTCCACAATGTTGCCTCTTGATTGGCGGTGTAAAACAAGACTGATGGCTTTAGACACGCGTTATGTTAGATCACGTGACATTCCAACTCGGCAATGATGAGAGGATGGATCCCATGGTCACAATTGTGGCCAACTGCTGTCTCCGGATACCCTTATCTGCATCTGAGCTCGCCAGAAAGCTTCAGCAGTCGGACGAGCAGCCCGTAATTAGAAGGTTGCAAGTTCAAATCCTGGTTGGGGGGTTGACTCAACCCATCATCCATCCGGGGCCCCTAAAATGAGCACCACTTTGTGGGGAAGGCAACACTGGTCGACCTTTAGATATACTTGCCCCCGACATAGGAATGTGGAATTTCCTACCACTTCCTCAGAGCTTTAAACAGAAGATAAGCACTTCCTAATTGCTCACTTTGAGCAGCAAAGCACAGATGTTGACGAGTATGTTTGTGTGCACGTGTGACACGGTGGTTCATGCATGGCATGCACTGCAAGGCCATCAACTCACAGCAGCCACGCACAACTTCAGTTGCACGTGGCTCCGTCACCGCGGCCTTATGCGAGTACCTGGTGCTTTATGTAAACGTCAGCACTTGGGAGACAAAGCGTGGTGATGCCCAAATGCCAACTTTAATCAGCTTACCAACAGCACTCCCCTCTACAGTCTATAAGTGGGGTATTTGTTGCGTATGTAATCTCCCTTGACTATATATTTGGAGTTTGCATATGCGTATGTAATCTCCCTTGACTATATATTTGGAGTTTGCATACCTCTCTCCCCGTGGTCGTGTGGATTTTTCTCCAGGTCATCCATTTTTTCCCATCACATTTAAAAACATGTATTTAGAGTAATTGGCTGCAATACATTTCCACATGATAAGCTACTTCATTTAGATATCATTTGTGGCCAGGTCGCATCTGAAAAAGAGCTATATAGCTCAGTGGATCTTATCTGGTAAACAAAAAAATTACGTTTTAAAAGTATATGTATGCATACTATATATGGTGCTTTTAATTATAGCTTAAAATTTATTTGTTTTAATTGGCTTTCCCTGTAGCTTGGTTTGATTTTATCTATAATGTGAGTGTAATTATTATTCATGGCTTTTATCGTAGAGGCTTATTCATGTTATCTATAGTGTGAGTGTAGTTGTCATTATCATTATTATCAACTTTTATTGTATTTTGTTAGGATTTTATCGATAGTTTACGAGACTTTCTTTCTCTGGAAAGCACTTTGAGATATTTCAATATGAAAGGCACTTTATAAAATAAACATTATTGTAATATTACTATTATTATTACTACTAGACTACATCAAAGATCCATCGTTGTTTTTCCCCAAAGACGCCAGGACATGGGCAGTCAGCGTGGACTGATTGGGAGTAATAAAGAACAGATTGTTACCCGGGAGGGCCTCACCCGAGTCTCATGGCTCGTCTTTGGGAAGGACCTGCTAGATTTTCACAATAGAGAGCAATTATTGCTGCTTTATCTCATCCCAATTGAGTGATTTGAAGTGAAATGTTTCTAATTCACCACATTTGGAACGAGACACCGGCACACACAAAAGCCTACTCTTGCGAATTACGTCACAGGTTCTTTAACGTCCACTGTAAAGCAGGTGGCGTGTATTGCTTTGGTTAATACGCACGCCCCAGGATTAATCAGACCAGGTGCTGGAACTGAAACGTGAAACCTCTGCAAAAAGTGGCGAATGCGGAATACAGTAGTGATGTACACGAATGGGCAGTATAAACTAAAACTATTTTCATTTACCAGGTAAGCACCACTGAGCTATGTAGCTCTGTTTCAGAAGCGACCAGGCCACACATTATAATAGCTCAACGAAGTGGCTTACCGCGTGGAAATTTATGGCAGCCAAATACTCTTAAAACTCACATCGATTCTAAATGCGGAGGGGAAAACCGGAGGACCCAAAGAAAAATCCACGCGATCACGGGGAGAACACGCCAACTCCAAATATACAGGCATGTGGGTCGGGATTGAACCCACGACCTCCTGTAAACGAGCAAGATAGTTAATCGTGGTGGGTGCCACGGTGGCAAGATGTTAACCCTTGCCAGTATTGCCATGACCGAACTTCAGTTCTTCTTCCCATTATTACTGCACCACAACAGCTACTCACTTTAGGCTAGGTCAGCTTTTGAGAGCCATTGGTAAAGAGCTGGGACAATTAGTCCATTAAGGCCATCCATCGATTAAACATCGTCAAGTAAATCTCAACTCAAATAGAATAGCATCTCAACACGCAGCATATATAGAATAGCACCTGTAAAAGTGAATATATACTCAATGTCACGTAATAAATATCCATCTGTCCATATAAAAAATAAGTCAGCCAAGACAAGCGATGCTGGTGAACAACCACATATTAACGGCATTGACCCTCTCGTTAACAAGATATGTAGCTTGCAAAGGTTACGTTTTATTTTAATGTTAAACCTGACAAGTTGCCAATAAGTCAAGTGAAAGAACAAATCAAAGGCCTGACGAGTTCTGTACTTGTTCAATGTCCTTCGGAAACAACGAAGGCAAAGGGACACCGTGTGCTGTGAACACACCTGTGGGTTCTTTGTGATCCACACCCCAGCAACAACAGCCTTGACTATGACAACAATAACAACTATTTATTACTCTTAGTCGATCCACTGCTACATAAAGGCCTCCTTATGTCGTATCAGTCATGGAGTGGATTGACTATACTTCACCACGCTGGTCCGTGGAGGTTGGTTAACCCTTTCATAACAACATTTTAAATCAAATAACTTTATCGGTACCGAGGTTCACACAAGGCCATGCGGGAGAGCGTGTGGCACGGTTTGGTGACAGCTGTCACAGAGTGCGGTCGTGTCACTACGGTTCTCTGCGATGAGAACTGTGTATTTTAAAACAACGGCGCTACGCCTCTCTAAATAAAATTATCGCCGAGCCGCTTGCATGTTCTGAGATTCAGTGGTGAAGGGGACACCCAGCCTGCCACTTGCAGATGTCTCGGAACGGGAAAGGGTGAAGGGGGAGGCTGCCTGGACTGGTACAGAGATCAGTTACCAGTGATATTAGCAGCGGCCAGAAATGTAACCCGGGTCGTTGCCGTGTTCATAGCGCACGGTGCAAACAACTATGGCCACTGCTTCGCACTTTATTAAAACAGTAGAGCACAAGTACTCAACATTTATTAAATAACACCATCATTCGACACCTTATTTTTATTTTTGTTTGTGCCAATTCTTAATGACAGATAGGTGGGGTCCCCGACCTATGAGACGAGTAACTGGTCGGCTGGCTCAGCGGTAAAGCGAACGCCTCACAATCGCAAGGTTGTGAGTACAAATCCCAGTTGGGGATCGACTCCAGCATCGATAACAAAATTACCACTTTGTAGTCGTCCTGGATATGGTGGAACTTCCACCATTGGCTCAGGGCTGCAAACTGAACATGGTTACCCTCCATATTTAGAAACATGCATTTAAGAGTATTTGGCTGCTATAAATTTCCACGTGATAAGCCATTTCATTGGGCCATCATTTGTGGCCAGGTCGCTTCAGAAAAAGAGCCACATAGCTCATTGGGCCTTCCCTGCTAAAAAAGAAAAATAGATAAATCACTTTTGACCTTTTTTTTCTTACTTTCAAATGAAACTAGTGGTCGTAGGATGATTCGTCAATGTTTATTTCACCAGGAAATGGTGAATTAGAATTAAAAAAACAGCTTCTGATGGAATGGCTACAGGGTGCAATTGGGAAGCAAAGTTATTTGAAGAGAGTGGCCCAAGCATGAGGATGATGATGATTGTTCTATTCACTCCTAGAATAGAACATTGAAATGTTGTTGAATGTCTTAGGTCGCATGGATGTAGCTAGAGAATAATTTAACCAGAACGGCTGGGGGGGGGGGGGGGGGGGTGGGGCAGGGAAATTATTTGATTGAGAAAAAAATATTTGATAACAGAGTTGATGACAGATCAGCAGAAATCAACTATCTAGAGATCTCTCCAGGAATACTTCTTCACAATTCTGGGAAATCGCCTTATGAAGCTGGTTCTAATCGCCGGCGATATGTCCGAACCGAATTGTAAATGTTGTTGTGGGTTCATTCTCCAACACACCGGTGTGCTGAAGCAGTAACTAATTTGCATTTTTTTGGGTGGAGCGCCACGCCTCCTCAATCAGTCGTGCTCTTACCTGGAAGCTTAAAGCTGAAGGGGAAGGAGTGCTTTCCGATTGACAGCGAACCAGACGACTCTGAAAGGAAAAACAAACACACGCAACCAATGAAATTAAACTGCTAACACGAGCAGGTCACCCAAGTCCTTCAAACGCTGTCCAGAATTGATTTAAAGGTGAATACCTGTTGATGTTTGCAATGGCTTCCAAGATAGGTCAATGGTTTTGTGTAACGCCAGAAAGGCTTTTGAACATGGCACTGTACACGCACACACACGAATATCGCCACAATGCTCAGGGATTTCCGTGCGTGTGAGTAATTCATGTGCGCGCATATTTGATGAAGAGCCTCAGACAGGTGACACGCTATATCCGTGAGAGACAGAAACCCAACCAACACGTGTTGTTATTGTGCATCGTGTACGAGACAGGGTCTCCAATATGCCAACCATGCACAATTTCAACCTTGATATAAAAAACATTGTGCGCCAAGTGGTGTCGGCACCTATTAAGGGCTGGCACAACACACAAAGGGGTCATGCGGCAAAATAAAAACGATGACCGCACCAACACATCTGGTGTTCGCTTCATGCCGAGAAGGACAAAGCGAGATTCTGATGCAGGTTACAGCAGGACCAAGAACTATACCATGACCATTGAGTTGTATCGCAGCGCGAACCATTGGATTATTACAAAGCCAAAGATCCACCCCCTACAGCCTACACAGGCTGTTGGGGCAAGTGCTGTTGTTAGCAAGCACCTATGAAGGCCGGCACAGCGCACGGACACCTTTGTCTGCCTAGTGCTGATGTTTACACACTGCACCAGGTACTATGTTAAGGCTAAGTCGACTTAATGGAGACCCAGGACATGTCCAGGTAATCACCACTGAAGTTAGCCGTGGCCGCGAACCAAACTTGGGGCACTGGGTTCATAGAGCGGCGTGCTAAACACTACGTTACTGTTCCACCGATACACCTACCGCCATTCTCCACTAAGTGATGGCGACGTCACCATGGCGCTTGCGCCAGGCTAGGTGCACCACTAATACACACACACAACAGCACATTACGGTTGGACTTGAGCTTGTTTCCTGGAAAGTGAAGGAATCTGTGAGTGTGCGTGCGTGCGCGCGCCAGGACAAGGCTTTGATGACATAATCGAGCTTTGCGCCTGTAACGACGGCACGGCGTTGGAGATTAATCAATCGAACGCAGACCGTTCGATTGTGCTCGTTACGCAGCAAGTTCACAGAACGGCTTGGCACACATTGGCACTCCAAGCGTGTCCCTGCACCTAGCAGTAAGGTTTGTTACTGCGAATGCAGTAAAGATAAGTGCTGTTGTGCTAATGGCTTCGGACTAAAACACTATCATGAAAAAAAACTATTAAGGCTTTACTGTAGGGTTTGTATGAACGTACAAGTAGAGCCTTCAACCGCCCTCTAATCCAAACGCTCCTTACATTTGCAAACATTACTTTGGACCGTATAGCAGACCGCTGTAGTGTGCGTCATTGTGACGGAGGAACTGCAAAACGACACCCAACTCTCTCCTGAAGCCCTCTCGTCGTAGCCAGCAGCCCCTGGACATATTGCCATCATGAGCAAGAATATATCAGATATTTTTTTGTTTCAATGAGTGATTATTTTGCGTATTTTGGTATGACCGTGTCATACGACGAAGAATTCATTGGGAAATCTGGCCGAGCGGCGCTCCTGTGCCTCGCTCGTTAAGGAGCGGCTGTGGGAGGCGATTTTCAACGGCTTTCTCAAAAACAACGAACAAATCCCCTCAAGTGGCCCTCGTTTTGTGTTTTCACAAAAGTATCACGGATGTTTTATCACGAGGGTGCTGGCTTGGGATAGTTGGCCAATTCCATTCCTCAGTGCTTTCTTGGCATGTGGGCAGAAACCAGAGTGACTGGAGAAACCCCCACTCGCACTTCTACACAGGTTAAAGAATCAAGAAATGTGTCGCCATCTCACCAGTTCGTTAGCTCGAGCCTACAACAACAACTTAGCATTGCCAGGCAGCCTCCCCCATCCATATACTGGCCATCGAACGAAGACGGTGGTCACCGCATCGCACGGCGCTTTCAGATGCGCTTCTGCGGCCGTTCGGATGCCACTGGGGCTGTGTCCTGTTATGTCATCCAAATTGAAAACTCATGTCTTGACAACTGCTTTTTGTGTTTAGTTTGTTTTGTCTTCCCGCGCACCTCCGATTATCACGGTTGCCTACATCATGGCGCGAAAGAAGTTCAACATACAGACATACTAAGCCGTGCTCAACTTTGCTTAGCTTGTAACTACCCTTGCTGTCCTTGAACAACCCCCACCATCACCATGGCAACAGGTAACCCGAAAACAGCAGCGATTCCCCTCAAATTGGGGATGCAGCCCGTGAAGGAAGAAGGGCGGGCGGGCCCCCTTGCATTTGGGACAAAACTCAGGCCGCATGCTAGGACATTGCCCACCTCCCTCCCCTCGGCCCCTTCCTCCTCCTCCCCGCCCCCCTCCTATGGCACGCCCGCACAATGAGCGCCCTTCACAGCAGCCCGGCGGCAAGGCAGAGAACTCCGTAAACACTTTTGAATCTTCATCAAAAGAAGCCTTAATTAAATCGGGGGGGGGGGGGGGGGGACAAAAAAAAGTCCACGGGGATGAATGGAGCAGGGGACGTGGACCGGGGGGGGGGGGGGGCGAGGCGGGGAGGGGTGGTGACCAAGGGGGCCCCGTGGTGGCTCCCGTACGCACCGCGGGCTGTGCGTGGTGCCTGGGACGTCCGTTCACTCGACCCCTCGCGTCCACCCCCTGACGTAACTTGTTTGCGCCGAGCTGGTGGCACGCCCGCGGGGGTTTTAAACGCCTCCGGTAGTTTCCTTGCGACTCGACGCCGTCAACACGAACCGGGTCGGTCAGGATTGTGTCTCACAAGTTGTGTTTTGACCGAACTCGCAGTTGGAAAGGTTGCGAGGTCAAATCGTGATTTGTATGGTAAGGGGGTTGAGTCAGCACATCATCCTTCCGGTCAATAAAACAAAGTACCACTTTGTGGGGAAGTAAAAAAAAGCGTGAATTGAGGCGCGGGTTTGTTCGTGGTGTGCCATGCACTCCTCGATCGTACCTTCATCGTTATTTTATCACGGGAGACAACCCCTTAGAATAACATTCCAAGATCTCAATCATAATTGACAGATATATATGTTGAATTTGTACAGAGCCAACTGGAAGTACCAGTTAATTCAAGAAAAAAAACGTCCTTAATATAATCCTAGGTTCACTGTTGGGGCAAGTGCTGTTTGGGAGCACCTATTAAGGCCACTACGACGCAGTACAAACAGTGTGGTCGACACCACGCCTGGCCGCCTTTGTCTCCCTAGTACTGACGTACACATTGAGCCAGGTATTAAGGACGAGTCAAACTAGGCCAGGCTCACCGGTAAGTTCCGTTAATCACCACTGATGGCCTTGGCGAGGAATTGAACTCGGGTCGCCACCGCTCCCCACCACACAGACACAATTTACAATTTCCCAACGCAGAGACGCAATGTTCCTGATCGCCTTACTCTCCTGCGGTGCTGATGTTTATAATTCAATAACAATACAGCAGAACATACAATGTGGATTCACACAGCATCGAAATGCAACTGCATCTCACAAAGCCAGCATCCTGGTGAGAGTCTTACATAACGAGGTTTGCTCACTTCTTCCCGAAGGCTTAGTGGGAAGTATAAGTGGCTTAATTCCATAAAATATCAATTATCATGGTTGCCGAGCACAGGCCCGCAATGGAAACTGAACAACTCAACACATTCCGTCAATAATGCTGCCTTAAAAGAAAAAAAAAATCACTGACGTTTCGAGCAATGGTCCTTCTTTATAGCACAAATGCACATTGCAATGGTGAAGAGTTAAGTTGTGTCTTGAAATGAGCAATGTTAAAAGAACTTGGGGAAAGAAGCGATGGGGGAGAGAAGTGAAGTGTGACGGAAGAAGCAGAAAGAGAATCGGGGTAACGTTTGTTGACGTTTGTTGACGTTGTTGACGTTTGTTGACGTTGTTGACGCGCATCGTCACCATCAGGGTGAGAAACGGAACTCTGTGGAACCTGCATTGTCTACATAGTCTGAAAGCTACTACGGCACGCTGCCCCCTTCCCAAAGATAGAGATCCCCCGTATAGCCTTTAACCGACTTGTGGGGCAAGTGTATGGACGCCGGCACGGCACGAGGGGGTGGGTGGCCAGTACGACGCCCGGCTGCCTTTGTCTCCCTAGTGATGTTTACACACCGCACCAGGTATTCATTTGAGGCCGAGTCGACCCCGGTGAGGCCCAGGACCAGTTCAAATAATCATCAACGATGTTGGCCGTGAGCAGGAATCGAACTTGGGAATCTGAGTTCGTAGGGCATCGCGCTAACCGCTGCACCACCGCTGTCCCCACACACAGACGACCGCACATGCGTATGTAGAGCACTGTCGTAACGGGGGATATCCACAGAAATAACGCCTCCCTGGCCTTGATTCTAATCACATGGCCGTACCGTGCCCACGCATCGTGGTGGGCACATTCTCTTGACGAGGGGTGCCCTTTATAAATATTCAATTAAGTACGCAGGTGCTCATGCGATTGCTGGGCATCGCGTTTAAAAGGGCATTGAGAGATTGGCTCACCATGATTGTGCATCAGGGTGGGTGCCCCCCCCACTCCTATGTGAACTCCTCTCATCCGTGTCGATATAGGTGGGAGCTGCTCAAGAATCCTCTATTATCTTTGAGTGAGTCCTGTTATCCGTAGAACGGCCGTGGATAACAGGGGGTAAAGCCCCAATTTCTTGAGATCACTTTCAAGTGCCACCTAGCTGGGGATAAATGCGGAAAGCAGGAGCGGTTACCTGCTCGACTCCTCTTATCCGTGGCGCCGCTGCGGATAATAAGAGTCGAGTGCTTAGGCATTGCTATCATGAGCCAGCAAATGTACCTGGGTGACCTTACGCGGTCGACTTTATTTATCTGCCCCCCCCCCTCCTCCAGGTCCACAGTGCCGCCGGACGCCAACACTGTAAACGTACCC